AAGTGCAACACACTGTACTATCCCTGGGTGAAAACCATTATCTAAGCTATAGCAACTGTGTACACATCTGTCTCCCTTAAGAAACTTGATATTCTAGTCATCTTTGGGTGATCTTATTATCTCCAACAGTACATATGGAGTGCTCACAAAATGTTTGTTAAATACATGAAAAGTGATGGAATATGTAGCCAAAGCTAAGCTAATTAAAGGTCATTTATAGTAAGAACTTCCCAGAAGAATATTACTCCAGCTAAAGAAGATACCTTCAAGTCTTAATGTGTGGGACCAGCAGATGGCATAATGGCTACATCAATGGACTCCCATGTAGTCGACCATGGTTCAAGTCCTAGACCTGGTGGCTTAAACTCACACCGGGTGTGTGTATGTGAATGCCCAAAATCCAGAATGCAGAATGGAGGAGAAGGGATTGTGGCATGGTCATCCTCCCTGAGGGGTGATTTTTCTCTGTTTCTCTCTCTTTCTGGTGAGCTCACATGCCCTATAGCAAAAATACCTCAAAAAAATAAAAATGTATGGAAGACTTCTCTATGACTATCAGATAGGACTAATAAGAACATTTGAATAATTGTATTTCCTGTACATAACTTGAAGAAAAAGTATAAAATTACACTAAATTTCAGTGTATTTTTTTACAAGTGTTAATGTGCAGAAGCTCCAGGTATTTATTTATTCATTCATTCATTCATTCATTCATTTATTCGAGAGAGATATGTTTGCTACAGGACATATATGCTTGCTGGAGAGACAGAAAGTGAAAAATCAACCTCCAGAAGGGATGGCCACATCACAATCTATTCTCCTCTAGGGATTTTGGGTACCATGCACATGCATCCTGCCTGAGTTTTAAGCTACCAGGTCTGGGACTCAAACCACAGTCAACTCTGTGGGAGTCCAGCGATGTAATTGTTACACTAGCTACTGGTCCCAGCTCCAGGTATCTTCTTCTTTAGAAATCCTTGATTTAATGATCGCTCTCTTACTATAGATTTTACAAATTAAATCTAGAATATAAAATAAATCAAAGAGTGATAAAGCAGAGACTAAGCATTGGTTATTTCAGAACAACTGACCTCATTGAATAAACATTATGTCACCAACATGGCAGGTGCACTGAGCAACTGTCCCATCAAACCTGTGCCATGGTCCAACTAAGAATGCTCCCATTATGAACCACACTTTTCTAGGCTTACAGAAGAATCACCCCAAAATGTCAAGAAGTGTAGTCACATGCATGGAAGATTTTTAAACCTTCTTTTATAATCGCACCAATACATTTTTTTTCCTCTTGTCCTCATTTTCCTCATCTTTTTTATTTTGAATATATATTCAAAAAATGGTAAATATCCAAGTGTACACGTGGATATTTTGACATTTGGTTATACTGAAAACTGATTATGCAGTTATGTCTTTTGAAGTGCTTTTATGATGGGGGCAGGTTAGAAACAACCTGAATACTCACAAACTCAGCCACAGCTAAACATTCATTGAGTGTTTCATGTGTGCCTGGCACTGAGAGTAAAAAGAAAATTGAGGCTCTCTTATGGGCTGTTTTGTCCCCCAAAATTTAAACATTGATGTCCTAACTCCCACTACCTCAGAATGTCATTGTATTTACATCCATGGCCTTTCAAGGGATAATTGAGTTAAAATGAGGTACTTAGTGTGTGCCATAATCCAGTATGACCAGTGTCCTTCCTTAAAACAAGAGGACACAGACACACAGAGTCTACTATGTGAGGACACAGGAAAAAGCCATCTACCAGTCAACAAAAGGCCTCAGAAGAAACCAATCTTGCCAATAGCTTGATCTCAGACTTCCGGCTTCTGAAACAAGGAGGAAAAGAAATTTCTGTTGTTTAAGCCACTCAGTCTATGGTACTTGGGCAGGGCAGCCCTAGCCAACGAATATAGGCACATGTCTTGCCCTCAAAAGTTTGAAGTCTAGTTGGGGAGACAGATCTGTAAAGAAATAACTAGTGGCATGGCAAGAAAGATTAAGATAAGTAAATTATAAATATTATCAACTTAGCCAAACTCTGTGTAATGATTAAAGTGATAATTAAAGAGTATATGGCCACATAGAAAATGCTTATAAAAATAGTAAATGAAAGAAAAGCCCAACAATATATCATAGATGATAATGATTAAAGATGGGTTGTTAATATATAAAGAGGTGGAGAAATCTTGGAAAAAGCCTCTCTTAGCCTAGTAGTTAGGGGAGTACAGCTCCTACTTAGGCAACTATGGTTTGAGTCCTGGCCCCAACCACTTGAAAAACACACTGAGTACATGTGCATGCATGCTCAAAATCCCAGCTGGGTAGAGAGATAGAGAAGTGATCGTGGTGTGACTATGGCCCATTGGTAAGTGTTTTCTCCCTTGCCCTTTCTGTCTGTCTCTCTCTGGCCACCACATGTGCCCCTAGCAATTTTTTTTTAAAAATTATTAAAACTAAGTTTTGACTTCTATGTGATTAAAGAAAAACAAACAAACGAAAACCTGGGACAAATAACAATAATGACAATATTAACTAATGAATACATTTTCTCTTTTACATTTCAGTTTAATTCGAATTTCTGTTTCAAGAAAACTAAGGGGAAAGCATTCTGACAGAATATTCAGAGAGATTTTATAAGCCTAAAGTTTATACTGAAATAATTACTGAGAATAAGAAAAAGCATGGACCAGCTGCTGGTGTGATGATTAAGGTAGCTGAATCCCATATCATCAATTGTGGTTCAAATCCTGGGCTCCCCAACTTAAGATATCTGCTGGGTGAAATCCCATATCATCAATTGTGGTTCAAATCCTCTCCTCCCCAACTTAAGATATCTGCTGGGTGGTATGGCCATCCTCCATAAAAAGCGTTTTCTCACTTTCCCTCTCTCTATGTCTCTCTGGCAGACTTCCATAGCCTATAGCAAACAAACAAACAAACAAAAAGAATAAGAAAGAACATAAGAAAAAGAGCGTACGTCAGTCCACATTTGAAGAACAGTTATCTAAAAGGTGGTTCTAGAGCCTGGCTATGAGCCTTAGAACCAGGTCCACTTAGAGAAATATCCAGACATTCTCCCAAGTTTGAAGTGAGAACAAAGGAGGAAGCAGAAGAAATTACTCTCCACCCCTCTGAGGCACCCCAAAGGGCCCCACTCAGGCAGCTTCCACTAGGGACAAGTACCTGGCCAGTCCCCATGCAGCAAAGACCAAAGACAAAGCAAATAGAGATGGGGTGCCCAGCCTGGAAACAGGGCAAGTGTTTTCACAGCAGACTTCCACACAAAGACAGTGGCATTCTGGCAGCAACCAAGCAAGACATGAAATGTCTCTCCACGACCCTTCTGCTCAGGGCAGGACAAGGCATAGAAAAGTTAACAAGATGGAAACAGCTGCTCTAAAGCTGTACTGGGTGTTAATCACACCATCTCCCAAATAGCAGGAAGGCTTATATCAAATACCTTAATTTGCCCCCAAGGCCCCATTGGTACCTTGATTTAACAATTCCCACTGATAGCAATCTGTTGTCCTCAACACACACACAAGCTTGGGGTTCTGCTACTCATATCAGCTTGCCTTTGGTAGCCCCTCAAGGAAAAAAGCTCCCCAGGAAGGAGATAGAGCTTTATTTTTATCCCAGTTAAAGTCCCTATCCAATCCATTAACAGCTAGGATAACCTTGGTACAGGGCATTTCCTGGAGAAGTGATAACCAGCTGGGGTTAATGAACTCTCCCTACCATTAATTCCTGGGAGAGGCCATTGGCCTGAATTGTTACTTAATTACTCTTCTGTGTACAGCTTCATAAAGCAATGAAATGCCTTCTTTCAGGAAGAAGGGAGATGGTAATGGGGGTCATCAGCGGCCATTAATTTTACAAATAGTTTGTTAGAAACTACAGTATGTTAAGAAGTCACTCTGGCTCGCAAATCAACTCAATGTGGTCCTTATTAAGTAGGGGTCCAAAACTTCACAGGTTTCTGCGACTCACACACAAAAAGTTACAAACTGTGCAGAATCTGACCAAAATGTACACATACTCAAGTACGCAGAAATATATTCTTTATATCCTACAACTGATTTTACCATCTCCTTGAGCTCCTGTTTCTAAAATTGGCAGGAATGACTCAATGGACCAATTCTCTTAACAGATACCATGAACTTTTCCATAGAATAACCTCCTTTAGTAGTTTCCCAGGCTTCTCAGAGTGCTCCCTCTAGAGTTCTTCTCATTCCAGGCTGATGACAGGTGCAGGGAAAAGCTATGTATCCAGGAGGCATCACAGGAGGAGTTTTGGGTCTTCATGCCTCCTCTTGGTGCTCCTGGATCTGTGGGACTCCGTGTCCACCACACTTCTTAACACATCTGCACCTGATTTCAGACCTGTGCTCCACCCAGTTTAGAATTGCACTTCTCTCCCTTCCACTGCATCACCGCTTACCCCCTTCCGCAGTTTGTTTCTTCATAGCATTCTCCTCTTTTATCATAATGAATAAAATTAATTTACTTATCTTGTTGATTGTGTTATCCCTGTACCCTCCTCCCACCACTTCCTCACCTTAGAATATAAACTCCATGGGGGCAAGGGCTTTCCACTCTTTTGTTCTTTCTCCCTACTGCCTAGAACTGCAGCAGGCAGACATGGATGTTCTTTCAGTATTTCAATGTTGAAGGAAGGAGTGTTAGTTGGCTACATGATGGGATCAGGCTGCCTGCCACAAGACCGAGAGTTCCCATTTGAGTCACTGTTGGACAGGAAGGGAGCCCTGTCTGCCAGAAAAAGGACAGGAGTTGTCCCTTTATGTACCCAGAGACCAGAACCACTGAACCTGCTGCTCCTTAAGGCAGACTCAACCATAAAACCCTCACATCTAAGCTCTGAGCTCTGTTGCCACCCACCCCACTGTGACATACTGCCCCACCTATTCTATGTCAAGAGCAGAGTCATGACCCCTCAGAAGGTTCTGAGATTCCATTGGATGGTTCCAGTGGGAGAGAGATTAGACTCTTCAGAAGCTAATTGACCAGGGCAGGATCAGGAAGACAATATACATCAGAAGGGAGGTAGAGTTTGTAGAAGAAATAGAAGAGAGGAAACTAAGGAGCAGAGAGATAGAATTTATTCCTGCTTGGTTTTCTGAGCTTTCTTCAATACTGAGGATCTTAATATCTTGAAATTCACACAGAGGCCAGGCTAGAGAACAGAGAGTACTTTAAGGGGCAGTTACACACCTACATCCATGCCCATGAGAACATTGCCTACGGCAATGGGGGACTTGAGAAAAACTGTTAACATCTACTTATAATTATCTTGTATAAAACTTGTGTTGGTAAACCATCTCTGATATATCTGCTAGTGGGAGATATATTGAATTCTCCAGCATTATCCCTATATCCTCATTGAAGCATTAATCAGACCATGGGCAGAAGAATCAGGAGGCTGAGTTTTGTCGAGGTGAAATATGCAGATTGGAGAAAGAAAACCAGTTACTTAATTTGGTTTCTATTTTCTGAGACTCTTAACTAGTTTATGCTTCCTGAATGAGCCCATTTTCCTGGATCATAAGATATATCTCTGCTGGCATTTTAGGAAATCTATGATGGAAGAAAGCAAGAAAGATCAGCTAGATTACGAGTAAGTAATCATGATTATGCAAATTCACACCAGGGACCAAGGTGTAAAACCAGTCTGCTGCTGCCACCTTCCCTCCTTTCCAGTTTCCCTTCCCCTTTCTACTCCCACTCTCCCACCCTTAACTGCACCCTACTCCAATCACTCTGCCCTCCTGAAGTAATAACTATTACAAATCCTCCAACAAGCCAACCCTTCAAGTTGGAACTTTTTTCCAATATCATTCTTCATTCCTACCAATGTCCAAAGTTCCTGTGACTTACTACCCTATTCCTGATTAAATAATTCAAAGACAAACCAATGAATTAATTTATATAGAAGAAAAAGAAATATTTATTGAAAGGGTCCAACATGTCATGTACCCTTTCTAGACTATTCTGGAGTAACCATTATTTCATTCAAATTTACTTCAAAAAGTAAATGCCTTTGAAATCCATGCCTGGAGCCTATCTGTGTGTGCTCTGTGGAATGACAGTCATTGTAGACTCTCCAACATTGTAACAGGCAAGTGGAGGGGAAGTGTAGAGATGGGAGGAGGTAAGAAAAGGCTGAAACTCTGTGGTGCTGGTAGAAATCTCTTGTGGCTGTGCATAAAGCCAGGCCCAAGCTTATCTTATATGTCAGGCGTTTAAATAAAGGACTCAATAAACGTGTATTGTATGAGTGGGTTTTGTGAACAATTTATCTAAGAAAAGATTTCCAAGAGAAATAATTTTCTCCAATTGCAAGAGGCTATTTAAAAACCATAGCTCTTCATGGAAACTGAGTGGAGGTGAACTATTATATAGAGCACTTTGGAGGAGAAAATCTAGAAAGGACCTTCCCTGTTAACCTAGTTGAGGATTATTAAAACAAATTGTAGAGAAATACAATTTCTCAAGAACAAAAAAGAAAAGGTATGCTCTCCAGGTTAATGAATTGCATGTCTTCTAGATATTCCCTTTGGCCCAATTGTTATTTATCTTAAGATAACTGGCCCTTGTTCATTTTGGGGGCTGAGTCTATAGGTCAGAGAAAATGGAAATCTTAAGATTGGCCCAGTCAAAGAGGAACATTATCAGTTTGAACATGGACCTTGAAAGGGATATGCAGAGAATAGATGAAGCAAATCAAGAACTTCTTCTCAAAATCCAAGAGAAAGAAGATGAGATTCAAAGGTGAGTAGTAGTGTTTCATGAGGGAAGTTATCTATCCAAAATAGGGTCTGAAGTAAAAGACACTAAACTGAATTTCCCTGCTTACTTTAGAGACCTATTATTTTGTGTAGGAGAAAGTTTCTTCTTCATTCTTGGATATTGATTTGTGGTTCAAACACCAAAACATAGCAAGTTTTAAATAGATTGTTAAAAGATTGGATAATATTTACCTAAATAGATAGAACACTTGATGTTTGGCTAGGGAATTGAGTCTTACTTGTATAATTCTGACTCTATGGATCTGGAAAAGAAGGGTTTCCAACTTGAGATCCATATATGTTGTCATTGAAGTAACTTTACAATTGTATCTATGGTTTATCAGTTCTGAAACTATCGATCATGGACCCATATGGGCAATTCTTGTGTCATGCAGGCTGGAAAGTGAAATCACTCAGACTGGAGACTTGACAGAAGATGAGGAGTGGGAAAAAGACAACTATGCCACGATGGAAAGGGAACAAGCCTTGCAGGAGCTAGAAGAAGAAACAGGCAGACTTGTAAGCAAGAAGTTAGGAAGAGCCATTTAACAGCCTTCATTCCTCATTCTGCCCCTCATCAACTGTCACATAAACTAATCTTCCCTTTTTGCACATAAAAAATAGTCAACCAGGGGCCAAAAGATGGCATGGTGGTCAAGGTGTTGGGTTCCTACATAGCCAACTATGCTTTGACTACCAGACCTGGCAACTAATGTTCTCCCTCTCTCTCTCTCTCACCATGAGAAATATGTGTGTGTGTGTGTGTGTATGTGTGTGTGTGTGTGTATCCTTGGTACATTGGAGTGTACGTATTGAGATCACAGGTACTACACCTGTGGTTTGATTCCAATACATGAGTCATTGGAAAAGTCATGACATATTATTTTATGCGTTTCTTTGCAAAAAATGTGTCATGACTTTTCCAACAACCCAGTAAATGATTTTATGCATCTAAAGTGGAGTTAACGCAGGAAAATATTTCCAGAGTAAAATAGACACCAACCAACTGAACTAGAACAAATGACAATGTACAGACTTAGATTTACACTCTGCTTCTTTCCCTCCACAGGAAAGGAAGAATGAGACACTGGTCCACAGTATAACAGAACTTCAAAAGAAGGTAGATTGGGGTTCTCTTGATCCCCAGCACTCCAATGGCAGCCCTACTTATCAGAGGCAAGGGAGGGAAAGTGATTAGAGAAAAATCCTACATGTCAGAGGCCTGTGTTTGGAGTGGGCATTACTCTGTGGTCCACTCTCTTGAGTCTGAGACTCATGACATACATGTCATGGACTTTCTCTGCAAGCATGAGGTATAAGAACTGGATGAGGTGTTAAGTGATTCCCATGGTTCTTCATTTTATCACAAGAAAAAAGATTCCAACAGACAGTCTTAAAGTGATTGACTAGGACTTAGTGATTAGGATCAGCACTTGAGTGAGAGGTTAATTTTAATTTCAACAGAGATGAGACTTAAACAAACAAACAAAACCAAGCAAAAATTGTGTTGTGTATATGAAACCACACTGAAATAGAAACTTAATATCCAAGGATTCTCATTTTCTTGTCTAAACATTTTCTCTATCTCAACCCCTCCTCAGAATACAATGAGTACCTTGGGAACCAGCAGTTAACGTAATGGCTATGTCGCTGGACTCCCACGTAGTCCACCATGGTTTGTGTCCTGGACCCGGTGGCTTAAAACTCACGTCAGGCGCGTGTGCATGCGTGCCTAAGATCCCGAGAGGAGAATGGAGGAGAAGGGATTGCAGCGTGACCATCCCCTCTGGGGGGTGATTTCTCGCTTTCTGTCTCTATGTCTCTCTCTGTCTGTCTGGCGAGCGCATGTGCCCTATAGCAAAAATCTCTTCAAAAAAAAAATACAATGAATATCTTATGATTACCCTATTCTCTGATCCATTTCAGCAGCCCTGAGTAATTAAGCACAAATTGGGGGTTTTCGTAAGTACTCCTGCCTTTAGTGGACCCTAGCTTTAGTGGCCAAAGACAGTGAAGATGGAGATAGAACAAACACATTTCCACAGGTTACTAAGTATCTCCCAAGGGACTACAAGGGACTATCCTCTGGTAGCTTTCATCAAGGTAATACTAACTGATCCCCACACATAATAAAATATCTTTGCCTTCTACATTTTTATATTGAATATTTTTTAATTTGAGATGTATATTTTTAATTTTAAACTGTAGCTTACAAAGAAATCACAAAAAATAACCAAGTGTGAACAAGGCAATCTGGATGGAACCCCAGAAGAGTCAAAGGTAAATGAAAAAAAAAGAATGGGTTTGAAGTATGTGACGAAGAAACAAGCCATCAAACAACTGTCAAAATTGAGATAAGTTGTTTGTAGTTTTCACCCATGTTGAGCTTAAGCCTAAACCACTGAATACTAAATGCTCCTCTGCCCTTAGTAAGCAATTGCACACTGAAGCTAATTTTTTTAGTTGCTCTCTCTTCTATAAGCAAATGTGGGAAACAAATGCATATATAGCTGAGGCATTTGAAGTACCTAGTTAAAATCCTGGCTCCAGCTCTTCATTTGGTATGTGAGGTTAGATAATTTAATCAATTCCTCCAGCGTCAGTTTGAGGATTAAATGAGGTTGTGTATGTGTGTGTGTGTGTGTGTGTGTGTGTGTGTGTGTGTATTCATATACATATATATATATATTATATATATTCTTTTTTGAATAGCTGAAACCTCAAAAGTTCATATGATTTTAATGTTATTTTTTAAAAGTCTGGCTAAGGCGAGTATACACATTCAGAGGCAGATCTGGGATTTGTATGTCTACTTAGTGCTAGGCAATTTACCCTGCCATTCCAGTCCAGAAAAGGGCTCAACCAATTAGTTACTCGAGTATTTGAAGACCTATCCCTGCTAAGTACATGATGCACTGTTCATTATTTCTTTTCTTTCTTTTTTTTTGTATTTTTTTAATATCAAGAAAAAGCAGTTTTAGCTTTAATAAGTCAAAAGCCAATGACATTGAGAAAAATGTGCCTAAGACTTAAAGCCAGGAAAAAGGTTAGGATTCTGTTCAAACAGTAGGCAGACACTAAAAACAAACAAACAAAAAAAGATATGGGCAAAGGTAAAATCTAATATTAAGTGCCCTGTAATTGTCTTCTGAAACATTTATTTTTTCTTTCTCCATTTCCCCTTTTACTGAAGAGGCATAAATTAACTTATTTGCAATCTTTCTAAGAGATTCTGTTGACTTTCTTGAGATCTACCTTAGTTCCTTAGCTTTTTTGTCATATCTTCAGAAATGACATTCTAGTCAAAGCCCTGGCAATAACCAGTATTTCAAATTTCTGGTGCAAGGCAACAAATATTATTAAACTTTTACAAATACCATTCTGCTACAAAATAAGAGTACCTAAAAATATTTTCCAACTCCAGAAGAGTCAGAAAGTGAGAAAAGTTTGTTTCAATTAAATAAATAAATAAATAAATAACAAATTACTGAACCTATCTACAGCTCAAAAGACAAAAATCCTTAAATCTAGATAACAAAGCAAAGGAAAAAATCAGTATGGTTTAGTCAAAAATCATAAAATTCTATTTATTCTGTACAGTCTCATGTAATTGACCTCTCTTCTGTTAAATGTTCAGAGCTATTGTTGTCCAATATTTCTGTTTAAATTCTGGAAGTTAACATTCAATATTATTATTGATCTTTCTGGACTCATCCCTATCGGCCATTTTCTTGGTTGATTTTTATCCTCTTATATCTGTGTGTCTGTCTTTACTTTTCCTGGTATAGCACTCCCTTTGAACTTCTTGAAGAGCTGGCCTGGTGTTAGTAAATTCTTTCAAGTTTTGTTTTCCTGATGTTTTTATCTTTTCTTCCCATATGAAGGATAATCTGGCTGGGTATAGTATTCTTGGCTGAACTTGTTTTCCACTTAACACTTTTAATATATTTTCCCATTCTTTCCTTGTTTGCATTGTTTCCAATGAGAGGTCCTGTGTTAGCCTGATGGGATAGCCTTTATACATAACTTGATGTTTCTCTCTTACCAATTCTAGTATCTTGTCTCTGTGGTTTTAGCCAATCAGTCTATGATGTGCCTTGGAGAAGATCTTCTTGGGTTGATTCTATTTTGGGATCCTTGGGTCTGAATATTTGAATGCCTCTCTAGGTTTGGAAGGTTTTCTTCCAGGATTTCATGGAATCGATTATCTATATACTTAGGAGTTTCTTCACCTTCTGAGATACCGATTTTCCTAATGTTTGGGTGTTTAATGGTGTCTAGTATTTCTCATATATTATTCTTATTTGAGGAGAGTATTTTCTCAGTCTTTTTGGTTATTTTTTCAGGGTCAGAGGTTTTTATCATCTACATCTGAGATTTGACCTTCTGTATGATCTAATCTGCTTTTAATACTTTCAAGTGAGGTATTGATTTCATGTATTATAGCCTTTATCTCTAACAGTTCCATATGATTTTTTAAAGAATTATTTAATTTAATTTAATTAATTAATTAATTAATTAATTTTAAATAGAACAGAGAGGGACAGAGTAAGAGTGAGAAAGTAAGCTGCTGGATCTGGGTTTCAAATCGTGGTTGGCCATATGGGAGTCCAGCATCCTTAACCATCACACCACCTACTGGCCCCCATTTGATTCTTTTTTATGGTGTGTATTTCTTCTTTCAGATCAATGAAGAATTTCCTTACCACCTGAAATTTGTTTCTTTTCTTTTACATCTTCTAGAGTTCATTGTCTATCTTCTCTTGCATCTCTGTTAGTTTAGTCACTAGGAATACTCTGAAATTTTTATCTGATATATTCATGAGTTCCATTGAACTGTCTATGGATGGTGAAGGGGTGTTGTTTCCCCCTGAGAGAGAGAGAGAGAGAGAGAGAGAGAGATTTTCTTGGTTTCTCATATTTCTTTCACCTTCGTGGTGCTTTCTGGTCATCTGATGGATTATACATTTCTTCCTAATTTTTTGGAGTTATATCTGAGTATACAGAGGTGTGCAGGAGGAGGTGATTTGCAGTCTCTCTGCAATTCCATTTCCCTGACACTTACCAAGAAATCTGTACTTTGCCATTGGAACTGGATATTACAAAGGCCTCCCGGTTTCTAGAGAACAGGTGCACCTGAGTTGAGCTACGGGGTTGCAACTAAGAGTTCAGAGGTGTGTGGGAGATGAGCTGTGATCTCTCTTCAGCTCTGTCCTTCTCCGTGTTGCTCACTCTGCAGTCTCTCTTCTCCAATCTTTATTTGGTGATGTATTCACGTTAGGTTAATTTGTTGAAGAAGTTTTCTGCAACTGTAAGTTCGTGTGCTTCCCTTTAGTGTGAGGAAATTCTGTGCCAATTTCTCTCTTCTACTATGTTTTGCAAGGTGTTATCCACAGAGGGAGATTTGAGTTCAGAGTTATGAAGAGGAATTTCTCCCTTTGTGCAGCTCTGAGCTAGCAAAATTCAGAGGGTTGGCTACTATGAACAAAAACCTGCCCATACATTCACGGGGTAGAAGCTGAGCAGCAAAATGATAAAATAAAGTCGAAGAAGAGCATACAAAAAGGAAAAGAAAATAGAAATTTTAAAAAAATGTATACCATGCAAAATGAGCAGAGCACCTCAGACATAGATAGCTCCCTGCAATGCCCCTGTTCTATGTAGGGAGAGGGGAGTAAAGAATTAGCCAAAGACCAATATTTCTTTCATTGTGTCCCTGAGCTGAGAATCACAACCTATCTGATCAAACGAAGAAGAATTAAATTTTTTTTAATTCAGAAACCAGATAAAATTATTTCCTGACACCTTTTCCAGATCTACATCTTTCCCTTTGCCTTATCTAACTTCTCTACTTTATAAAGTTGTGTGTATGAAGCCTCTGAAGATACTAGTACACTGAAAATAGAAACAGAAAATGAAAGCATAAAAAATTACTCCCCTATCTTCTGGTCAGTTTAGTGCTGGTAGCCACACAAACAGGCAGTCCAACCCCACCCAATAAGTCCATTTGCCTGTGCCTGTCCAGGAATCTTATCTGAAAAGAAGGAAATGAGGACCCTGAATACACCTCAGGATGATATTAGCATTAAGATTAGAAAAGGTTATGAAGACCCTTGATCATATTTCATATTATCATAGTGGATGGAAGAGTTTATTTTCTTCCACAATACTTTTGCCCATAACAGATTTTCCTGAAGGTAAGCCCAGTCTTAAGTAAGTGGTGACACATTCAGTCTGTCTGTGAGGGCTGTGTCAGGATATCTGGGCTGATGAGTGATAGATGAGTCCCCGCCTTTGTTGGCATACTGGCCACTATTTTGCTATCAGCAATAAGCTTAGTCCTAGAGAGTCCTAGAGTATTATTAACTCTTTGAAGTGCTTTCTTTCGTCCACCTATTTTGTAGAAGTCTCAGCTAACCCTCTAACTCTATAAAATATATAGCAACATCTTGTTTCTCTGTTTCTCTGGCATGCCAATAATCAGTTCAGCAGCTTAATAGGGTGCCTGCTTCAAACCCTGTGACTCACACTGTTGGTCTGAAATGATAGCATTTAGCACATTTGGCTGACTGACCCTGGAAGTAGTTGATTGGATGGAGGGGATAGCAACTATGAGGAGAGTCCAGATGTGAGATTATGGCACCTACATGAAAGAAGGGGCCATAGTGCTGAGAAAGAAAGAAAGAATGGTTATGTCTGCTCTATCTCCAAAGCATATCCCAACTGCTTCGATGCCTCTCCGTCATCTACTGCTTACTCCCAGTGCTCTGCTGCTATCACCACTCCACCCTTTTCAAGCCACCATACCCGCTCACCTGGACAACTGAAGCAGCCTCTAACTGGTCTCTCTGCTGCTGCTTTTACTCCCAAACAATTCATTTCCTTATGTAGAAAATTCTGCTCTTTGAAACACAAATTAGATTGTGCCTTCCCATGTCCATCCCTCCCCTGATTTCTCACTGCAATTATAGAGCCACCTCCTTACGGAAGCTACAAGGCCCTACATAATGTGCTGCTCATCTATCTTACCCCACCTCATCTTCTTCCTGCTAGCCCCACTGTGCTGCAGCCACACAACTTCATACTTGTCAAATTTGTGCCACTTCATGGTCTTGGCCTTTGCTAGAACTCCCCATGGAATATTTTTATTACAGATCTCCAGTGAGCAAATATTTATCACTTAGGTTTTAGCTCAAATAGCATCTCATCACAGAGGGCTTTGCTAACCACCTGCACCCCTCACCCCAACCTCTTGCAACACCACCACCATTGTCTCTCATCACTTTAACCTGTTTGGATTTCCTCAGGGAACGTAACACTGTTGTGCCAACTTATAGGCTTGTCCTCCAGCTAGGATGGTGGCTCTGGGGGGTCTATCAATCCTGTCACCTCTGGGTCCTCAGCACTGCTACCCTACTTTACTCTAGTATGTGGCCAGTTTAGAATAGTCATTTCCTGGGTGTCCAAACCCTTGTACAGGAGTGTAGATACCATCTTGCTGCAGCTTTTATTTGTGAATTAAAGATATGCTGGCTGTTAAAAAAAAAGAATAGTTGTTCAAAGGAAATTTAAGGTAAGAAAAGAGCAAGGAAGGCCTACAGGAAGGGAGAAAGGAATGAGGTAACACCCTGTTTTCTGAATGCTCATATAAAGGGAAAGGAGTAGTGATGTTTCTCAAGACCTATTATTTGTAAGACAAATAGCTAAGTAAGAAGCCAAGAATTGAAATTTAGGGGTGAAATGCGAAGATGAATGCTAAGGGCTCAGGAGTTAGGAGAGCAGGTTCACTAAGCAGCTGCAAAGGTCCTCCATCAAAAAGACATCTGAAATTGTGGACCTGGTACTCTTCCAAGGCCTGTGAGGTACGCCTCAAGATAGCATGCCATTTTTGTATGGCTTTCACCTTGCTGAGTTGCCACTTTCCTTTCTGTAGGTTAAGTTACAACAGCTGGAAGCTCTGTGCGCAGACCAAGAGCAGGAGCTGGTGAAGGTAACCACAGAGATGTCAGTGTTACTTCTCCCTAAGAAAGAGCACGTGGTCCCCAGTCAGACCACCTAAGATTTTTCTGCAGAAGATTGACTGAAGTTTCCAGGCCTAGGACCATTGTGGGGCTAGAAAGGGGATAAAGAAAAGGAAGATGAACACAATCTCCTAGGTTACATTTTCTTTAGCATATTTACAGGATACATTTTGTAGTCTGTATCTTCCACATATTGTATCTATTCCTCTTTCAACTGCCCCAAAATAATTCCTACTAGACTGTAAAATATATCTTGTTTATACTTTTAAAAAAGGAAAGAGGTTCATAAATGGAGCAAAATATACATATATTCAGAACAATTAATAGAAAACCATGTACAGGATCTGGGACACACTCCTAAAGAAAACAAAGAAAACAAGCATATTCTTTTTTTTTTTTTTTTTTTTTTGAGAGGTTTTTGCTATAGGGCGCATGTGCTTGCCGGAAAGACAGAGAAAGACAGAGAGATAGACAGAAAGTGAGAAATCACACTCCATGGGGGATGGCCATGCCACAAGCCACAATCCCTTCTCCTCCATTCTCCTCTCAGGATCTTGGGCACACACGCACACACACCTGGCATGAGTTTAAGCCACTGGGTCTGGGACTCGAACCGTGGTTGACTACATGGGAGTCCAGCGACATAACCATTACACCATCTACTGGTCCCTATTCTTGTTCTTATAGCAATTTACTGAGAGAAATTTAAGACAGAATTTTTGTTTCCAAGGTAATGGAGGAACATGCATTTGTGACCCAGCTCTGTGAAGATCAAGCCCTCTGCATCAAGGTATGGCCTCTCAGTAAAGGGATAGCAAAGGGTTGTTTAAGGTGCAGGGTGAAATGGAAACAGGCTTTTCTGTTTAGAACAATTTTAACTTGTCAAAGTGGCTCTCATCCCCCCAGTACCAATAGCACTCTGCTGTCCTTTGAGTCCCTGGTAATTACTGCCTAGGTCTCCCAATATCTGAGCTCTTTAGTGAAGAATGACCATGTGTCATTATTTCCCAGTGACCCCAGGAAACTAACCTAGGGGTAAGACATAGAAGCAATGAGGAGTAGAGGTGGGCTGAGGTCTATGAAAGCAGAGTGGCAGTGGGAATACCGAACATTCATGTGATAATGGTATCAAATAGTAAGTGTCGTAGCGGATAGAACCATCCCAAGGTTCTAAGTAGTAATTGTGGCTTCTTTTATTTCTCTTTGAAGAAGTACCAGGAAACTCTGAGGAAAATAGAAGAAGAGCTAGAGACTCGGTTCCTTGAGAGAGAAGTGTGAGCTTTGGCAAACAAAGGAACATCCTGGTTTTAGTGGTAACTCCTCCTCTGCTAGAGTCAGAGCAAGCATGTCTCAGACCAATTCCTATTGGGAATTGAATGAGCCCCCACATATCTTTCTCCTCCACTTGTACCTGGTTAGGCCCTGCTAGACCACTCCGACTTTAAATTTTCAGTCTTTCTCTCATCCTCTCTAAAAAACTGCAGAAAGACATTTCCCTTCATAATTTTATCACAGAATCATATCGTTATTTGGGCTTATTAAAGGCAGAAAGGCATACTTTAAAAAGGATTAGTGAGTGGTCACGACCAGCAGATGGCATAATGGTTACATTGCTGGACTCCCACATAATCGGTTTGAGTCCCAGACCCAACAACTTAAAACTCACACCAGGTGCATGTGCGTGTGTGTGTGTGTGTGTGTGTGTGTGCCCAAAATCCCAAGAGAGGAATGGAGGAGAAGGGATTATGCCATGGTCATCCTTCTTGGGGGTGATTTCTTGCTTTCTGTTTGTCTGTCTCTCTCTCTTTTCCTGGTCAGCACACGTGCCCTATGGCAAAAAATCTCTTAAAAAAAAAAAAAAAAAGGATTAGGGGTCAGGCAGCTTTATATGTAGGGAATTCCTTATATCTGATATAAAGGCCTTAAATCTAATATCATCGTCACTTTCTCCAAATATATGGAAATCTGGCCATGTAGGAAAGGCGTGAAACTAATCTCTAGATGCACACTACAACATTGTGAAACTCAGAACTGCATACTGTATTGAACTATGAACATTAAAAAGTTCTGTATTGAATTATGAACATTAAAAATTAGGGAAGATAAGGGGGAAGCTTCCTCAAAAGCTTTTTCTGATACTTACTAGCTATGTGACCATGAGCAACACACTCTGTGTCTCTCTCAAAAAAATACTGAGTTTGTTAAGTCTCTACGTAGTAATAAATCCAAACCAAAAACTCACCTCAAAATCTTGATACACTTTCTAAGTTAACTCTGCACTCAGTAAAGAAGTATTTCTGCTTACTAAATATTTTGGAATCTTGGAATGAAGAACAAAAGACCAAAACTGCTTATATCTCTAACTAGGCCAAGCACCAACTGTAACAAAGGGGTCAGGGTCATAGGACTTGTATGTCCTTGTTCCTGAAGGACATCTTCAAGTCTTCAGGATCCTTGCAAGGTTATAGTTTGACTGTAAGATAAAATTCTACAACAAGGGTGTCCAAATAGAACTTTCTGTGCTTTCTAATATAGGTAGCCACTAACATGTGTGACTGTTGAGTACTCAAAAAGTGGCTAATGTGACTAAAGAACTGAGTTATTTTAATTCATTTAAATCCAAATAGTTACATCTAAATAGTGGACAGTGCAACCTGAGAGTATAAAGCTGGGTATAAGTAACCCTCATTTGGTGTGAACATTTGAGTGTACTTTACTTAATTCCTGTCTTGGTTCTTTGTCCCCTAGATCAAAAGTTCTGAGCATGAACTCTAGGGGAAAAGGATACAGTAGTCAAAATAATGAGGTGAGTATCCCATTCCTTCTTCAGCTTCTCCCAGTGTCTCAGCTTCTCCCAGTGTCACTGCCATCCAAAGGAGTTTCCAATAAACTCTAAGCCACCAAATATATACTCAATCTTCCCATGTGCATTTTCCAAGGATGATGCCAACTGTGACTCCAAAGCACTCCAACCCTAAACAAACACATGGATAAGAAGCTAAGGAACAATTGCCTTCCTTTTCTTACGGACATTCAAATAACAGGTTCTCACAGAAAACTAGCGTAAGGCCTCAGAGCATTCAGAATGAAAGCATAAAGTACCATTAACTGAGGCTACACTGCATAGACAGGAGGCCAATATGTGACACATACACCACCTTCCAACTCCTATAATCCCAGCACTCTTCCTGATGGTCCCAATATGGTCCCAAATCCTTCAGAAGACAGAGCACCAGGCAATTGTCAGCATCTAATAGCTGCCCATGACTTAAAACACAGGAAACAGCTGTTTCTTTATGATACGGCTCCAGCACTTGTTCCTATTTCATATCATGAAATCATCAGTGCACATGCAAGAGTCTGACGGACAGAGAACAGTGGCCCACTGATCACCAGTCTTCTTGGTCTGTTTGATATCCTATGGCAGCAGAAGCCTAGGGTAGCAGATAAACTTTTGTTGGACTTTAATTGTGTACCATTTATTGGCTTTAGAGTCAAGGTTGATGTCACCAAAAATTATGTGTAGTCAAGGTAAGTGGCCTGAACAATCTCAGAAAACTCATCTCTTACTTAAAAGCAGATATCCACAATTGACTATTTGTCAGTGTCTGCCCTGGACTTAGCTCGATCTAAGAGAAAGCAGAAAGAAAGAGACAAAAAGACAGAGTAGCAATGGACTCAGGTGGCCTGAGCCTAGGCAGCCCAAGCAACTTGTGCCACCCAAACTAGGCATCTTTATTTATAGAGCAAAGCAACACTACATACCTGTATTTCATGACATTCCACAGATAAGTTGATATGTAACAGACAATAAGAAGCAAGTAACAAATCTAAGAGGACTTAGACATTCTGGGCCAGGTGTATCTCTTGGCTACATCCATATCAAAGAGAAATCATAATAAACTTCTTATCTAGTGAAGAGAAGCCTGTAGGTGTGGGGAGGACACTTTCTTGCAAACATCTAAGGGGTGTTGATAAGACTGTAGAATCTCACAGAGGCAGAGCAGGGGATGAACTTTGCTAACTGGGGTCAGGACGTTTCCTGAATTCCATCAGATGTGTCTGTTGAAAAGTCCCTGGAAATTCTACCCTTGCTCTCCTTGCCATAAGGGTCAAGGAAAGACAAGCTACAAGGTTCTGCCATAGCCGAAAGGGACAGGTGATGTTTGCTCAGAGCATGTCCCCACATCCTCAGGGCCTCTCTCCGAACATGTCCCTACAACTATTGTCCTGGAATCATGCAGGTATTTGGATACATATCAGGCCATGTCCATGGTGACCATGGTTCCCAATGTCCTGAACAAGTCATTGTAGCCCCTAAGCTTGCATTTTTACTCTGCAAACAAAACTTCTGAATTCAAGGACCTATCTTTCTAGAACCAAGTAGATACACTTGGGCATTTATCCCCAATGACTCACCAAAGTGTTCCTTTTAGCTAGCTGTCAGAGAAGAAACAGAGTTATCTTCATCAAGTTCATCAGAGGCTCACAATGGTCAATGACTTACTGATGTTTGAGTAACTTCAGAGAGGCTGCCTGAGCCACTGACCCTATGGCATGCCACTTAATCCCACTCAAATACAGAACTATGTTTGTAATCCAGAAACTTTCTAATTCTAAATTCTGTAAGCTTCATTTCCATTGCTCTAAAATGTGATGACAGGAAACCAGTAGATGGAATAATGGTTATTTTTTTTGGAGCGGTATTTGCTTTCAGGAGCGTGCGCTCGCCAGACACACAGAGACAGAGAGACAGAAAGCGAGAAATCACCCCCCAGGGAGATGACCATGCTGCAATCCCTTCTCCTCCATTCTCCTCTCAGGATCTTGGGCGCGCACGCACACGCGCCCGGCGTGAGTTTTAAGCCACCGGGTCTGGGACACGAACCATGGTTGACTACGTGGGAGTCCAGCGACATAGCCATTACGTTAACTGCTGGTCCCAGAATAATGGTTACTTCACTGAACTTGCATATAGTCAACAGCAGTTCAAGTCCTGGGCCCAGCAGCTTAAAACTCACTCCAGACATGTGTGCATGTGCATCCAAGATCCTGAAAGGAGAATAGAGGAGAAGGAATTGCAGCATGGTCATCTCCCTGGGGGGTGATTTCTTGCTTTCTGTCTGTCTGTCTGTCTGTCTCTCTCTCTCTCTCTGTCTCTCCAGTGTGCACACACACCCTATAGCAAAAATTTCTCAAAAAAAAAATGTGATTACAATTCCTCTTTTTTTTTTTTAATTTCACAAGGAAGTTAAAAGGACAAATACTTGAGAATATTTTATGAAATGGATACCTCACAAAACCCAGATAGACAGCCAAAGAAATGTGCTGGGCATGTGTGCATGCATGCCCAAAATACCAAAAGATGGGAGAAATGGAAGAGAAGGGATTGCAGAATGGTCATGCATCATGGGGAGTGCTTTCTCAGTTTTCCTCTCTCTCTGTCTCTCTCTCTCTCTCTCTATCTGTTTCTTTCTGGCAAGCACTCATGCCCTCTAGAAAAATTTATATAAAAAAATAATAATTCCCTATAAGAAATACTAAAAGAAGTCTTTCATTACTATGTATAGTAATTCAAAGTCACAAGAGTATATAAGGTTCTTGAAAAGGTAAATATTTAAATCAGCATTATTGTAATTTTGGTTCATAACTCTATTATTGTATATTTCAATAAAATCCATACAAATGGCAGCAGCCTTCAAGGAAAAAAAAAAAAAAACTAAGATAGATCCTCATCTTTAGATTTGTACAGCATTTTAAAGTTATCTCAGGATATATTTACGTGATTTCATAGCCTGAAAACTTCTTTAGGATCACATGCTGAATAGAAAGTAGAAGGGTATAGCTTAGTGAGCCAGAAACGTGGAGGACCCAGGTTCCAGGCCTGGCCCTGCTGCTTACTAGCTATATGACCCTGAGCAACATACTCTGTCTCTTTTAGTGCCTTCATTTATTCATATTGGTAATGTAAATAGGTAATAATATAATAATAATAAATATGTACAAACATGTGTCTAAAAATTACATGGGCTTATGCATGTAAAAAGAATTTGTAAAATGGTATTGAAATATAACATTTAACTAATATGCACTGATTATTATTTGACAGCAATAATAGCTTCCAGAAATTGCTTATTTACCTATGTCCTTTCTTCTTTTCCCAGAATAATTCTGTCCCGAGGAAGGCAACACTGTTTGGTAAAGGGTAAGTATAAAATGTCTTTAAGTAAACTTCCTGGAATACTGAGTTCTACTTAGCTATCTGACAGAGAGCAAAATCTAGACAAGAAGAGCCTTGTACACACCACACACAGAGTCAGTACATTGGCTACACTTCTCAGTTCTCACGTTATGACTTATATGTCGAAAGGCAGTTAATAATCACTTTTCAGTATTAGAAGCCAACATTCTAATAGTACTTAGAAGTAGGCCTCTGATCACCAAAAAGAGATGTGATAAATATCATATCTACTCCCTTTCCCTTTAATAGTTTAGAAAGCTTCCTGTAATTCATTACCCAATAGAATCAGTAGATTAGAAATAGAGAGAGAATTTCTAGATATGTCACCACTTAATTGCAAATAGAAGCGAAATAAAATAATTTTTAAAAAGAGGGGGTTAGACAGTGGTGTGGTGGCTAAGGCAGCTGTGTCTCATATGGCCAAAAAGTAGTTCAAGTCCCAGACCCACTGACTTGAGAACATGCTCGGTATGTGAGCATGCATGCATGCCCAAAATCCTGCGAGAAGAATGGAAAAAGAGGGACTGCAGTATAGGCAACCCCCCTGGGAGGTGCCTTCTCACTTTCTCTCTCTCTTCCTCTCTATCTCTCTCTGGCAAGTATCCAGCACATAATAATTGCTCAAAATACTTGTTAAACTGAATAAAAAATCAAAATTCAAACACCTGAGTAGATATTAGTCCTAGGGGAATCTCTGTGATAGCAAAGTAAAATTGGTATTCATGAAGCCCCTACATTTTCCAGAAAAGGTCAAATTATATTCAATATAATCTGTTTAAGAAGGCATAAAGAAACATATATTCAAAGTGGAATGAAATATGATTTAGATAGAGTGTCATCAAAATGGTTAACATAAAATTATTGGTGCTTAAAGGTCAGCTCCAATTGTGTGGAAAATTTGCTTTAGGAGAATACCCCTTCATACCAGACAAATGAAGTATTACATATTTGAATGTCCTTAAAAACAGCATTCCTGTCACAACTAACAGAATTCTCCCCAGAATTCCCAGGCTGCCCTATTATACTTTCACACCAGTGCTCAGCATGGACTTGCCTGGCTAGGCTCATGGGCGAGAGCTGGGACTCCAGGGCCAGCAGATGACATAGAGGTTATGGTGCTGAACCCACATAGCTGACTCCATGGTTCGAGTCACAGATCTGACAGCTTGAAAATTATGCCTGGCCTGAGTGTGTGTGTACCCAAAATCCCCAGAGGAGACTGGAGGAGAAGGGACTGTGGCATGGCCATCCCCCTAGGGGGTGACTTCTCACTTTCTCTCTCTTTTTCACTCTCTCTCTCTCTCTTTCTCTCTCTCCAGTGACTGCATGTGTCCTATAACAAAAACTTTAAAAAAGAAAAAAAAAAAAAAAAGTTGGTAGCCTGAAGGGGTCCTGACAAAAGGCAATTTGCAAGTGTAAGTCATCCCCCTGAGCTAGCCCCTAGTCTTTCCTCTTGCATCTCATAGGGCACTGGTATATTGGGTACTAATTCAAGTGACACACCAGGGAGGTTATTCCTTGGATTTTTCTATGGGAATGTAGTCATAGAATCTCATAAATGTTGTATACAGTTTCAGGAAAGGCGGTAGGAAGAGGTTTGTAAAGCCTTCTGACTCTAATTATGACCAAAATGCTGTATTAGAATGAATTCCAGTTCATATCATCAAAATTAATCTTAGAGAAAACTTGAGAACAGTGTTGGGGAAGGGGCTGTGGAGATCACTAGTGGATTTGTCCTGGGGCAGAAGGCAATCTCTCAAGGCAGAGTAAAAATGGGAATGGAAATGATGTTGGTTTGCTCATCCAAATTATATTTAAAACACAAATGATAAAGAATTCATCAGTTAAAGGAGAAATTAACTGGGAAGTTTATAAAATATTTTAGAAAATATTAAAAATATTTTAAAAAAAGAAATGCTATGATGAGGTTAGGAAAACTTAACCATAAAGATATCAATTGTCTCCAAATGACTAATAGATTTCATTCGATTCCAATCAAATTTCTGAACAGATTTTTCATGGAGTTGCAAAAAAAATGATTCTAGTATTTTCTATACATGGAAGAGCAAAGGGTCTAGAATAACCTGAACAATTTTTAAAAAGAGCAGGGAATGAGGAACGTAACTTTCCAGATACCAAGATTTACTAAAAGCTATAATATTTATAATAGTGTAGTATTGGCCCAGGAATAGGAAAATTGACAGTGGAATAAAACAGAGTTTAGAAACAGTGCACATTTAGAATTTTGATGTGTGACAGTGATTGCATGTCAGAGGAGAAAGAAAGAATTCTTCCAGGAAAACAGCAAGGAGTCCGCCCCATAGCATAGCTGTGAAGAGCTGTGAATAGAGATCATGACCCCACATGGCCAACTGGGGTTCAAATTCTGGCCCCAGAGGGTTGGAAAAGAAAAGACATTGGCACATTGCATGTATGCCCACAACCCTAAAAAGATGAAGAAACAGAGGAAAAAAAGATTGTGGCATTATTATGCCCCATTAGAGGTCTGTCTCTCTCTTGCTCTTTTTCTGGCACATTCCTTCAGGCAAAATAATTAATTAAGTAAGTAAGTAATTAATTAAGGGGCCAGCCGATGGCATGGTGGTTAAGGCAGCTGGATCCCACACAGCTAACTGTGCAGTCTGAGTTCTGCATCCAGCAGCTTGAGAAACACTCTTGGCATGTTTGTGTACATGTCCACAATCCAGGAAGGAGGGAGAAATGGAGAAGGGAATGTGGTATGAGCATCCCCCATGGGAAGGGGGGAGCTTTATTACCTTTTCTCTCTTTTCTTTTAATCACCCTCCAGGGGAGATAGCCACACTCCAATCCCTTCTACACCATTCTCTTCTCAGGATCTTGGGCATGCACACACACATGTCTGGCATGAGTTTTAAGCCACCTGGTCCAGGTCATGAACTGTGGTTGACTTTGTGAAAGTCCAGCAACATAACCATTCTGCCATACTGGTCCTGCAAAATTTTTTAAATAAATAAAATAAGGGTCACCTAGTGGCTCAGTAATAATGTAACTGGACCCACATGAGAAAGGTCCTGGGTTCATGTCCTGGGACCTCCCTGAGCACACACAGCATGTACAAATGTGATCATAATCTGGGCCTGCTGAGGCTGAGGGTGGATCGCAGTACAAGGACCCTGTTAACGGTGCATGCCTGTCTGTCCATT